ACATGGCATTTAGCATTGCAGTGTTTAAGATGCAGCTCGTATCATTAAAATTGACCACGTTATAATGAACTGAATGTTTGTTGACTAGAAATGGGTTAGAATTAATCTGGTTCTATATAATACAGATTTTAGTCCATTATATTTACTGTCTTCGTTGGCTTTCTGCTAAAAATAAATCATGATATCGTACAGAGTGTGCGCTAACATCCAAGTTTTTTGTTCTGAAGTTCATTAAACAAGTAGAATGCTCGTATTTCACCTTTTTTTACGAATGAGCATATGAACAATCCTAACATAGAAAATAACGATTCTAAGTTACAGTGAGTAAAGTTTTCTTTAGTTGTAATTAAAGTATCCTTTATCATATTTAAGCTGGTTAAATGTATTACCAACTCCATTATACAAAAGATAACCAATATTATAATAAACATAAATACCCTCCTCAAAATATGTACAGAAAATTTACTTTTTTTATAGGCTGGGTCTAATCTGCCATGCTTCTTTATTCTGTCCTTGATCCGTTTTTTTCTTTCCTTAAAAATGTTTAAAAAAACCTTGTACACAAATGTGACTTAACACCCTGGATTCTAATAGACAAAATACCTGCTTTTAACTAGACACCAATTGCCGTAAATGATTAGATATCCAAAACCGTAGGAATTTATTGTGGTTTACACACAATCGTACTTTTTTATGAGCATCCGAACAAAACTAATCAGACACTGAATGCTCTTCAGATGTTCAATTCTCAAATTTTGTCTTTTATAATTTTTTGATCCCCCAATATCGAATTTTATGAATTGCTCAAAAAACACGAATACGTCAAAAATAAGTAATTTTTTAGTTTACGAAAGTAGTCTTTATAGCTTTATATTGAAATGAATGGTAAAAATGTTTCCTCAAAATCTATTTTTAGAAGTTTTCTAATTGAAAAACATAAGAGTTGATAGGTGTTTTACTTACAGGAACGCTGCTTTGGTGCTCTCAGTGGCAGTTGATGGATATGGTTCTGCATATTAATCTAAATTACGTGGTAGAAAATTCAGTGTAAAGCCTTTATAATTATACCAGAGTGTAACTAGATTTGGGACAAACATGAGGCCTTATATATTCAACTTACTGCTCAAGTATTTTCAATTTATAATCAACAACTTTCATACCTCTTTTGATTGAACTTGGGTACCCATTTACCTACTTATTTTTAATCTATGGTCTTATTGACTAAATCCAAAGTGCTCCCTGCAAATTTCGCAGTTAAAATTAGCCTTCAGTCGATTGGTCAATTATTATTTTGACGCTATGGTTTCTGTAAAGTTAAAAAAACCATACCTAAAAATAAAGCACATGTTTTTACTAAGGCACTTAGGATGAAAGTATTTGCTTCCTTCCATTAGCAACTTTGGACGACGAACAAATTAGCAATAGGTAAGCAGAAACCTAATTAATTAACAAATTAAATTAAATGCGGAAAAAAATAACCCCAAAGCTACTAGACGACGGGTTGATTAGCTTCTAAACAGGCAACCTAGACCGCGGAACAAATGTAACCTTTTATTTGAGGGAAAAGATTTAGATCGATATGGTCACTACCGTAACTTGAAAATTCCGCGAGTTCATTTGGCGTGGTTTGTTTTGAAAACATGGTGGTTTCTTAGGTAGGGAGAACAGAAATTCTTTATTTAGTCGTAAAGATCAGTTGCATCGCTGATTTATGCAAAGGTCTTATCACGGTCGCAGTTAAGGTTGTCTTCAGAATACTCGGTCTAATCGTCTGCGTCAAGTCCTGTCATGGCGTCCTTGTGATGTTGTACACACAGAATATTAAAACAAAATTTCGCAGTGTTTTCTGTGTTTATGTTTTTGTTTTACGTCGAAGAGGAACGCAATTTGAACAATTTGGACTAATAAAGAGGTGTTTTAGAAAAGAGCATAATTTTGATCTGCTAGTGCGAATTTTGCACATTTTGTTCAAATCTGATTCAATATTCATTCGTTAAGTACTCAAACTTTCACGTTGGTGTTCGTTCGGCTTACAAAATCTAGCCGTTATCTAGTGAATTCACATTTTCCATCCATGGCTATTCTCAGTTCCATCAAGATAATGATATCAGTAACCACAGTAAGACTTAAATGTTCCATCGGTTTTTAATCAAGAATCAGATTATTCATAATCAAAGATGATGACATTGGACGAAATTTTAGAGGGCGTTTTTTTCAAACTAAATCCACTAGCTCACAACAATTAGCTCCCGATTTCTCAAAAACGTCCACATTTTCTAAGGACAAAGTGCTCTTTTGTGTTCTTACAACTGATGATTCTTCCAAAAGTTTAATCTTAATCTTTTATAACTAAATTGTGAGATATTCAAAGGTATTATAATACCTCCAACAACGAACTCGTGGAATTTAGTCTAGTCGCAAAAAACACATACATCGTCTTGAATGTAGGAATGTTACCACCGATAACAATCAAGCACATTTGATAATCGCTGCGTAAATGGGTTAGTTATCAGTTGATAAGACTTCAAATTACCTGCCTTGCCTCGAATGAGCCTCAAATTTGGCTAAGCCGACCAGTTTGTCCTACACATATTTTTCAGCATTCGTGTTAATTTCTGCCCAAAATTTTCCTTCATGGGCGTTGACTGTTCATTTTAGGCTGAAATTAAATGTGGTAAGCTGCAAAACCGCTGTTACGTCTCAGGTCTTGCTAAAGCATGCCACTTTAAGACATCCCGTTTAATGTTGCAGTTCAATTTGAAAAAAATAAATAAAATATTTAACGAGAAAGTTGCCGTGTTTGGCAACACTGTGGCTTATTTTTAACTCGCGTAACTGACCATTGTGGAAGACCATTTTCGTTTCTTTAATGCATTCTTTTGTCCCAACTATCCTAATGGATTTCATTAAGGCCTTATTTAATGCAGCCAATGAAAAAAAATTACACTTAAATTATTGTGTGAAATTCTTTTTTAAAAATGGCATAAATAACTGCGCTATCCCACTTGCCTTAATTAAAAGGTCGTGCCATTGGCGACCTTAAACCTCTTCATTAGGATAGCATTGTGTTGGTTTGATAGTTGAGACCTGCTATCGTGATTATAATTTAATGAACAGAGCATTGCATTGCTAAAAAAGTATTGAAATTTCGTGAATAATTTTTAGAAAAACATGATAATTTAAGTATTGCAACCAAAGCAAATTGGACAGAATGCACACAGTTTTCCTATTTTGCCAGTAATTAGGTCCATAAATTTGTCTTAGGACAATTAAAGAACTAGATATTTTCTCGATGTTAAAACTATACTTAAAAATGAAAGTAGTTTTTAGTTTGTCGTGGTTTAGAAAGGATCGGATGCAAGGTTTGAGAACACCGAACGACAAGCCTGCGTGAATTACACAACCTCTCACAAAAGCAGAGTTCCCAATGGCAACTGATAAACAGCACATTCGGTGGCACTGCATTTTATACGTATTCCAACAACAAGGAATGAATCAGGTCGTGGTGTTCTTGGTGCTGGCGACGTTGCGTCTTATGAAAAGTGTAATTTTTATTGGTGATTTCGATCGCAGTGATCAGCCACGTCCCAGACAGCAGTCTAGAAAGTTTGAAGATGCGCAGTCGCAACCTCAACTACATGATGACTCAAAGCAAACGCAACAAGAGCTTGCAGCAGCTCAGTTAACAGCCACCCAAACACCTACTTCGAAGTTGGGTCCCACCACGTGTGCTAATCGAACACAGTCTATGTTAACGCATAAACACACGCCTTTGTCCGCTTGCCCGTCGACAATAAGCAGTTAATAGAAGTCGTGTGAAAAATTATGGCGAAATGATGAAATGTATATTCTTCGTTACGAGAATCTCATACGTAAAATGTAGAATCATGGGTAGATCACGGGCAACGCAGAGCATCAACGCCGAAACTGGACGTCCGTCCACTGGAAGAAGGTTCTCGTGTGCATCTGGTGGGGGTACATGACGGGTGTACTTGATTGCGAACTCCTGGAAACAACTGGTCGTCAGACGGTGACTGCGCAACGCTACAGCCGACACTTGACCAAACTGAACAAAGAACTTGATCCGAAAAGGCCATTTACTGTGCCAGGAAGCAGACAAGTCAGACTGCCGCAGCTGCTGCATGACAACGCCCGACCACCTCGCGTTGCTTGTTGCTTGAACTTGAGGTGTACTTGATTGCGAATTCCTGGAAACTGGTCGTCAGACGGTGACTGCGCAACGCCGCAGTCGAAAATCGATCAAAATGAGCGAAGAACTTGATCAGAACAGGCCATTCACAGGACAAGGAAGCAGGTAAATCAAACTGCTGATGATGCAGTTGCTGCGTGACAACCTTCGACCTCCTCATGTTGCTTGCAGGACTCAGAAGACTCTCTTGAACTTGGGATGGAAAGTTCAGCCACACTCGGCATATTCACCAGATTTGGCCCCATCCCACTACCGTTCGTTCCTGTGAATGCGGCTGCATGCCGCAGTGGGAAAAACAGTTCAAAACGGTGGACGAGGTGGGTAAATTTTTTGCTACTTGCAGGTAAAAGAACATTTAAAATTCTGAACTTGTTTCATTGGCAGCTGTACGTTGGGGTTGCAGATTACTTGACTCATTGCTCAATTTCTGCTACTAATTTTGCATTTTGGGCGTTTAAGTGGCATAGCTACGATCATGAATTGTTTTTGCCATCGTACCAATGAGTTAGTTTATTCGAGATCGCAGGTTTGAGCTCCAAGGAGAAGGTAACGACGTTGGCATCGCTGAAAGCTTATCCGTAGCAGCTTTTCTGTGCTGTTTATGATATAATGTTCAACCCGTCGTAAAATGCATGCATAATTTAAACTTCACAGTTCACATTTCGCTTGATTTCCTAAATGATCTATTTGACATTGCGTAGTAGGTAGGAGTTAAGAATTTTGCCGTCGATTCTATAGAGATTTCTTCAGTTCTCGTTCCACCACACTGCTATCTAGTAGAAATTGTTGTAAGAATATTTTTAATTGACAACTTTTCGAGTGATCTACAGACGTCAGTACCTATTGCGTCGAAATCCTTACGGCAGAGTATTTGTACTTATGCTGTACGTGAGGTTGCAGTCGATATGTGCTTGCTTCTTAAAATAAAAGGAGCTATAGATTCACGTGAACGTCAAGTAGATTAGAAAACGGTGAACTAGTGGGAAATTGAGATTCCCAGGATCGTCTCAACTCGAGTTAAAGAAGCTGCGGTTTTCTGACTGACGCCTATGAGCATTTTTGGAGTGATACATTAAATAAAAATTAGAATTTTTTGTGCTTCCCCTAATTGCTATCGGTAATCATGACCAACTTTTGTTAGCAAGACGAAGAAAAGACAAACACGTATAAATTGTGTAATATATTTGATTTACAAGTCTCAATTTACTTATTAGCTAGCATTTTCAGTACGCATGGGACCTGACCAATCAGGAAAACAGAACTGTCCGGAGCCACCAACCATTGGTCGAGCAGAACAGAAGCCATTGGATGAGGCGATAATAAAAAGGGCACTTATTAGGTCAAAGTAATTTTGTGAACTCCCAAGGTAGGTGAAAGAAGACTTTAGTTGCTAGTAAGTTATTTGCATTTTATAAAATTATTTGCAATCTGAAAATGTTTTTTTATCGTCGTTTACTACACGAATGTCTTTGAGTGCAGCAATTGTACTTAGAAATTCGAGTCTGCATTTAGAGTCTGAGATCCAAAATTCAGTGATTTAAACAAACAGAGAACAGAAATACTGAGTAAATGCAAATCAAATTAGTAAAAAATATTCTAGTGAGAAAATATGAATCGGATAATTAATTTACTCTGTGAATTTTGAATCAAGATACAAGCAGCCTTGTCCCATTCAAGTGTATTCATTGATTTTAATGAAGTAACCGTTAGCATTTATCTATTGCCATTAATAGCCTGCAAGCACTAAGCTTGCTACATGGTAGAATGTGGTTATGAATTAATAACACTACACCTAAACGGTCAGTTTAAGGTTCTAAAAATAATTCATACCCAAACCCGAAAAGGGTACCTTTTTAGCCACTAGGCCGCCAAACAAGCTAGACATTTTGTCGATATAATGAAGCTTCAATTCATTTGAAGTGACAAGTAAGTGGTTGTGGCAAATTCATTTTAAAATATTCGTGTTTAAATGGTGACATAGTTGGATAAAAAAAGCTCAGTGTGAGGAAACGTTTGAGAAAAACATTTTTGTTAGTCTTTATATTCCAAATTTGCTAAATCTTTTTTTTGTACACAAGTAAGTGGTTGTGTTTTTTTGCAAAAAATTATCGGAATCTCAAATCAACTTGCACCATTTACGCCCATGCCTCACACTGTAATTATACACAATTAAAAATACCCATATCTCCGATTTTCGCATTTTTATTGGCAAACAATGAGAAACAATGCAAGTTTTGAAATTATTTTGGCGCCTTAACATTTGGATATTTGATCTACTAGGTAAAGCCATGCGGGGTGTGTGCGTTCCTCTTCGATTCACGCTTTTGTTTGCTGTCCTAGGTAAGTCTTTGTATTAAAACTTGTTCAAGAATCATTGTTTTCACATAAAACCAGACCTAGTCTGCACAAATACGTGCCTGGCTTCAAAAATGCGCCATAAGGCGTTCCTAGTGCATTTAAAATGCTCATTGCGAAGCAAAATATCTCGTGTTCGTTTAAAATTTTAATTAGCCCCGTAAATGCTCCATTTTGACGCGTTCAAACCACAGAACTTGTTAATTATTACTGATATGTGGAGAATAAGCTCATTGAAACATTGGCGTGCAGGTTTCGACCTACCAGTTAAGCACCTTGATTAAAGCGCTAATTAGATGGCCATTCTTCTTTCTACGCAAAATCTTTAGACCGTCGATTGCGTCAAACTATGCAGCCAAAAGGCAGAATTTCTATCAACGCTGAAGCGCAGAATTCAAAATTGTTGCTTAAAATAATTGGGTGAAATCTACGTCAAGTGATAACGCTCTATAACCACGCTAATGTGCAACTGTTTTCAGAGCAATTCTTCATCTTGCTAAAATTGGTTATAAGGCTTTAGTTGTGGTCGTGAAAGAAAAATTGATTTTTTAGCAGAATCGCTCGATTTAGGGAACCATGAATGAGCTAATTTGTGAATAATTTTGACTTGAATTGCAAATGCCGCATTCAGTTGGTTCAAACAAGAAAACACTCGGTGCTGATTGGCTGAGAAGTTGGTGCGTGCAGTAGCACTCCTTTTGGTGACTGTGGCCGCCCTTCGCAACGAATGTGCAGGAGAATTTGGAGTTAGGTTTTTACCCATTAGTCCTAGAGTCGGTTCCCCTTTTGAAGCGTTTTCCAAAAGTCAGTCGCTGTGTGTGTGTGCGTTACAGGATACAGTAAAATTTGGACTTCACGTAACTCAAATTACTCCAAGTAGGTTGACAAGGTGGCTTACAATGCTAAAGTTAAATTTGAGAAACGATCAAAAATAATTCGTCTTTAAAATGAAAAAAAGCGGAATTGGACCAGAATTTTGGAAGAACATCTGGATTTACAGTGTGGTCTGACATGGAGGTCCTTCGCTTTCACATGTGGTGTTTCCTTAATTCTGATTGGTTAACACCCGTTAGTGGAAAATTGCTTCTAAAAGTCCGATTCCACTAAACCTCTGTGCTCTCTACAAACCTGCGTTTTTTTAAATCGTCATTGCTAGCGCCAAATTTGATATTACGTGATTTGGATTGCCTTTCTTTCTTCATCTCCTCTTTTTTGACAAGTTTCCTGTCTTGTGAAGCAGTTGTACAATGGTTTAAAACGCCTGGTAGCCATCTTAATCTAATGTGGCGAACAGTTTCTCGCTTACCTTAGTTGTTGATAAATAAGTTATGCTTTTTAAATTTTAAAATATAGAGATGTGATCGTCTGGTCGCGTTTCGTTCCAACAATGAAGTGTTCCAACCTCAGCCAAAAATCGATAAATTGGAAACCCTGACGCTGCTCGCCTTTTCGACATACCATCAAATTTAAGGATGTACTTAAGTCTAATCGCTTTTCGACAAGCTGAGGTTGCTTGCGAGTTAAAAGAAACACGGGCAAATTGAAGTTTCATCAACTGCAATTTGAGACGGACTTGACGATGTTGTAAAATCGCGTACATTTACACTTGCCGTTTCGTCAAACTACGCCGTGTTTCCACTCAGCCTCTCTGAGTGTTTTTGTTGAAGCCGTCTTGTACACTCCGTCTAGGCGCTGTGTCTGCTGCTCCTTGGGGTTTGCGGGAACAAGAATTCGAGCGAAGGCACGACAGCAAGTTGGATTCTCTGCTTCTAGCGCGACTACTCGACGGCCTGCAGCTGGAGGACTACGATCTCTCGCTTCCCCTCGCTGAATACGCTGAAAATCGTGGCAGGTACAAGCGAAACTATGCACGACCCGCCATCCGCATGGGCTAAGCCCTGAGACACAATTAACTCGTTGTTTGTGTAAATTGTGTTCCTGGTGTTACCTTAAACATGGACATTAACAGCGACAAGCTGTAAACGGCTCATTTTCGACTCGGTTTTGGAATAGTAGCCAGGTAAAATTCAAAAACGAGCATTCTAGAGTTCCGTCGAGGACACGTCGACGTACCCACAGCAGATAATAAAGCCTGTATAGCGGTATTTGCGCAGAAATCGCATAAATCACTGTGGAGATTTTGATAACAGTGCCTAGCTAGCGCACAATCATATCAAGATGCAAATTTAGGGCTCATTACAAATGCTTGATTGTCCCAACACCACAATGGCTCCAGGCACCCACTAAAACTCGATAATAAATTTAAAAAAAACAACAGTGTCTGTAAGCATTTTGAGCCAATAATCGCAGACTCTTGATGTTTAAATGTTGTACCTTTTGTGAACAGAAATTCAGATTTACGGGAAAAAGGAGTTGTGGCTTGTAAGTGTCACCAAGCATGACTCATGCTCCATTCTGTTAACCTACCATTTTCACAAAAACACCAATATTTCCTTCTGCTGGGCGATTCCTTTGTAGAAATATTCGTATTAACAGGTGCGACAATGTTTGAGTACAACTCAGAACTAAATACGTTGAAAATATCTGCAATATTTTGCACCAATCGCCTTCAACAATGGCTTCGAAGTTAATTTAAACAAAACGCCCAGGCCTGATCACGAATAAAAGGTATTTACTATTAAAAACAGAGATCAAATCATGCTATTAATTTACGTTTTTACAAGTAAATGGCAAAATTTTAGCATTCTGAGATTAATCTGACATTTTAAACGTCTTGAGTGATGGGATTTCGTTATCTTGAAGGAATCTGACAAAAGCACAAACTAAAGTGGTGATGTGCACTTTGACTAACTAATTAATAATTTATTTCTGCTAGTTGCAATTATCTCCACTTTTTTTCGCTCGTCAATAATTTAATTGGTGGGTTTGTGCAAAATATTTGAATTTGGAAGTTAACTGAATTCAGCATTTTTAAGTCAGCGTGAATTGTTTATGTGACAACAGCTTAACACGATCGATTCTGACACCAAATCTGTGTCATTCAATCATATTTTAAACCGCGAGCAAAGGTCAGTTGCGATTTAAACAATGGCTTGAACACCACATGACTACAACTCAATACTATCGATTAAAATATTCAAACAATGTTAACCAATCACGTCACAAGTTGGAAATTAGTGATTATTTTAAGCGTGATTTCTGTTTCCAAACGCCAGGAAATTCTTGAATAAAAAAGTCACTAGTAATTATAGAAAACTAAATTAGAAGTAAGTTATAGATCAAATGTCATCAATTGATCAATCGATATTCACTCGTGATTTGGCGGTGTGAAGTTAATCGTTGCCGCTTAAAGGAATTATTGATTTTAATGACTCATCCTCATTTTTCATTGGCTGTTCTTTACAGTCACCTGTTATGCGTTGGTGCTAGAGGCTTTGATTGTTTGAAAGAGTAATCTATTGAACCTCACGTTGTCCCGACACTATCGATTTCGAAATGGCGAACACAGATGCGCCAATAGGTATGTACGCAAAAATGAGAAACTTATTTTTAAAAAAAAACAACGCTGCATGTTTTTGGTTCCTATTTTGCGCTTTGCTTTGCCGAAGGTAGCACCTTTGGGTGGCAGTCATGCGTTTACGTGCGCAGGGTGGCTCAGATGTAGCCAAACACTTGTTTTCCTTTTTTATTTTTGCTAAATGTAACAAAATCACAGAGTAAAAATTCACAAACGCAAAAAAAATAATTGCAGCACAGACACGACATCGTAAAAGCGTAATGTGTTATTGCTACACTTGTTACTTCTTAAAAATGAAAATTTCGTTTAGTAATGTCGAGGCAACCTAGTTCGTACACGATTTCTGCTCAATGAAAAATACAATCTACTTATATGTTGTGAGTACGATTGCTTGTAGATGATGTAACAACTGGTTACCTTTGTGGGTACACGATAAGAAAGCGCTTGAATGCAATTATTTCATTTCTTAACCAATCCCAGTAGAGTGAACGCACTAGTGACAGATTTAGAGGCCTGAAATTATTCGTAGAGCTTCCTTTTATAAATGAATTACGTGGGTAATAGAATGGAACTGTAGCCTGCCTCAAAGATTTGACTTAAGAGCAATTAGGAAGGTCCTTCCACAACAAATTTACGTCCCCGAAATGCCAAAATTTCACTCTTAATTTAAGTCAGATTGCATGGGCATTTCCATTTATTATCATTCACCAAACTGTCATCAAACAAGCTAATTTATCAAAAGTTTACGTGAATTCCTGATACATTAGTAGGTGGTGAACTAAAAAATGGACAATCAGGATAATGAAAATGAGAAAGAAGTAAGTCACTTTGCAAAAACAATGCGGTTAAAAGGCAATCAACAATAAAACGAATCATTGAATGAATTCATTCGCATGCAATCCAATCACTAATATGAATGGTTTCATCTAAATTTTTGTCTGAAAGACTTCAAAACAGCAAAAAAATTAAAAATTCGAGGTAGGAAAAGCGAGTGTAGAAAGCGTAGCAGTTGCGGCAAGTGAGGTGTGAATAAAAACACGCCTCTATGTACGTGTCGGTGGTGTTGACGACAAAAATTTGAAGAGATAAGGAACAGCCGAAGTTCTCCAGTCACATTTCTTGTCATAAGTACAGATCTAAACAATGGCGTGAACATAAATCAAAACTGTACCGACAGGAACACAACTCATCCCACATTTTGATTACAACTCAATGAAATCGATTCTGCCATTGATTCAGTGATGTCCAATGGCATGTCACCGCGTGAATTGAGTTCAGTGTCGATTTAAACAATGTCGTGAATGAGAGACCTCCAGCGGTTATTCCCGAGGCTCTAGTCCCTGTGAGTGGTTGACGGATGCCAAGCTAAGTCGCGAATTTTATTATGCGCGTGGGAAGTCAACTGCCTATTGGTCAGAAATGAACCAGCCAATCGCAAACCTAGTTAGGGACTGCTCCCAATGTCCGCAGGTTGCCTGGAGTCCTCCCGAGCCTTGTCCACAGCCACGAAAACCAAAGAGGTTTCGAACCTGGTGTTGGTGGAGGCTTCCTCAAAGTGGCTAGAGATATTTCAAATGAACCTCAACAAGGACATTACCGGACCTGTTCCAACATTTCGGCTTGCTTAGGATTCCTGAAACCTCAGTCTTCGACATTGTCTCCCAATTCACATTACAGCAGTTCGGGGATTTGGGTAGGCGACACGCAATTACTCACGTCCTTTCCCCACCCTACCAACCACAGTCGATTGGTCAGACTGAAGGCTTAGTCGACACCGTGAAGAGGGCTTTGATGCCCTTCACAGGCTCGTTTAAATCGACAGACAAATTCCAAGAACCTGGAGCCCCTACGAGGCGAATCTAGTGCTTCGTCCAAAGCAGTAACTTCCACATATCTTCGAGACTACCGACCAGGAGGTAACTCATGGAACCTCTGGACAGCGTGTAAGAACGGCGAAGCGTCATCCACAAGCATCAACACCATGAACCTAGTTCCCGAGTTGGCATAGTAAGATAAGTTACTACGGATTTCAGTAGGCGTGCATCTGAAATCTTGATTGGCTGATGGTCCCAAGCATTCATACCACAATGTGCCACTCATGGTATTTTTTCGCGAGTAGGTTGTTTTGCAACTCTCTATTTGCACCAATAGAACCACAGAACGACTATAGGACCACAACGACCTACTTGCCCAAATCCAGTTTTGATTGGCCGTGAAACCCAACTCCTGATTTAATATTTACCTTACTCAGTTTAACAAGACCGCCAACATATCAAGCCAGATGCAGACGGATAGACGTGTCATTGACCTACAGCGCCTAGCAACCACTTCTTTCAGTCACACCATCTCCAGAACAAAACACGCTCATTTAGGTCCAATCTCAATGCTCTGAGTGATGCTGCAACATGCTACTCACGACATTTGTCAGTAGAGGGACAATTTCAAAGCTGATTGGCGTTTCTGGGTTGTGGAATCCCTAGACAAAGACCCAGTAAGCAAGTCAGGGAGTCACAAAACGCCAACTCCAACAGATTGGTCTGTCATGGCGCTTCTAGGGTTGCGGAAATCCTAGACAAAGACCCAGTAGGCAAGTCCAGGAGTCACAAAGCACCAACCCCAACAGACTGACCCGTTGTGGCGCTTCTAGGGTTGTGGAAAGCCCAGACAACGACCCAGTAAGCAAGTCCAGGAGTCACAAATCACCAACTCCAACAGATTGGTATGTTGCGACTCCAGGCGCGGTCCGAAAACCACACCAGGTCCGACGATCTACGTTGACACGGCCCGTTCCGAAAAAAAGAATAGAAACGCAAATAGTGCGTGTGTGTGTCGTAGAAGATGGCGAGTCAGTTTACGTGGGATCGGCCAAACACCGATCCCTGAACGAACACAGCTGGATCATGCTCGCTCACGCTTGCCACTCGCCACAGGTCATTTAGTGGTCGAGGTGCTTTGCAGTGGTAACCAGAACTCATGCACATCCAATCAAACAAACTTAAGAGTAGGATTGACGACTCTTACCACCATACCACGTGCTGCCTTGTCAAGTCAATTTAAGCATGAACGATGTTATGACAGCTAGAAAGGATTCGTCATCGTTGGATGTGGCACAGCCCAGGACAGGTGGGATGAGAGGAGGGGAGACAGAAGGCATAATTCCGTTTATTATTCACCAGATGCACCCGTGCAAACAAAAGGCCATACACAAAGACAACGCGTGGACAGGACTGTGAGCAAGTCAGAAAATGAAGGCCAATCCGACCGATGCAGTGTAAGAAAGCTCCAACATGAAAATACTTTATTATTTAGCAGTGAGCATGTCGCATGCAGAATGCCCCCTAGTAGCTTCTACCAAAGAGGGTATAGAAAGTGGCCGGCCTGGTGCACAGGGGATGACGGATGCAGCGGCAGTTGGCGTCCACGCATCCCGTCTTGAGGCCCACCAGTTCATTGTCGAAGGGCACGCACAGCGACTTGGCACCCATTGACGGGGCTCCGGGCGTTACCACCACGTTTCTGCAAATTGCAAAAAAAGTAGCTCTTTTAGTCAATCGATCGCAGAGGCCGATTAGCACACTCAGGTTAATTGTGCAAGGTGTATGACCCAGCCTCTACAGATTTTCCAGTAAATTTAATTGTTATAAAAAGAATGGGGAACAACAAACTGATTTCGGAATTTATTGTGCATCGTCTTCAATGGCATTGCGCCATCTCCCAGGTAACGTACGAGCGCCGTCGCGAAAGGAACTAGCAGGCTTCGAGGCATTCAAGTCACCGTCGACGAATTCACCCACATCGTCCACCGTTTTGAACTGTTCATCCACTACGGCGTGTTGCCGCATTGACCGGGACGAATGGTGGTGGGATGGGGCCAGGTCTGGTGAATATGCCGAGGGGGGTTGAAAATTTCCATCCCAAGTTCAAGAGAGTAACGCAGGAGCAACGTGAGGTGGTCGGGCGTTGTCATGCGGCGGCAGCACCAGCAGTATGACTTGTCTGCTTCCTTGTCCTGTGAATGGCTTATTGTGATCAAGTCCTTCGCTCAGTTCGGTCGAATTTTGGGTGTGGCGTTGCGCAGTCACCGTCTGACGACCAGTTGTTTCCAGGAGTTCGCAATCAAGTACACCCGTCATGTACCCCCACCAGATGCACACGAGAACCTTCTTCCAGTGGACGGACGTCCAGTTTCGGCGTTGATGCTCTGCGTTGCCCGTGATCTACCCATGATTCTACATTTTACGTATGAGATTCTCGTAACGAAGAATATACATTTCATCATTTCGTCATAATTTTTCACACGACTTCTATTAACTGCTTACTGACTAAGGGCAAGCGGAGAAAGGCCTGTGTTTATGCGTTAACGCAGATTGTGTTCGATCAGCATACGTGGTGGGACCCAACTTCGAAGTAGGTGTGTGGGTGGCTGGTAACTGAGCTGCTGTAAGCTCTTGTTGCGTTTGCTTTGAGTCATCATGTAGTTGAGGTTGCGACTGCGCATCTTCAAACTTTCTAGACTGCTGTCTGGGACGTGGCTGATCACTGCGATCGAAATCACCAATAAAAATTACACTTTTCATAAGACGCAACGTCGCCAGCACCAAGAACACCACGACCTGATTCATTCCTTGTTGTTGGAATACGTATAAAATGCAGTGCCACCGAATGTGCTGTTTATCAGTTGCCATCGTGAACTCTGCTTTTGTGAGAGATTATGTAATTCACGCAGGCTTGTCGTTCGGCGTTCTGAAACCTTGTGTGCGATCCTTTCAAAAGCAAAAAAAGACCACGAATATTGTTCCACTTTAAGCATGATTTTAACCTCGACGATAAATCTGCAAAAATCAAGTCAAACACCTTACATTTGACAAATAAACTAGGCTGGTATGACCCAGCACGTCCTACTAAAAGCAGCCAACTATGTGCGTCGTGTCAAGGGCATAAAACGAGCACTACAGAATCTTACTGGGCCGATTCAGTGCGAACCGCGTCCTCGCAGGCGGGCTCACCACAGAAGGGCGCGAGGACAAGGCACTTTTTGTCGAGCGCTCTCGTCAAGCCCTCCATGTCTTCGGCGGAGACGATGTGCGACACCTGTTCCTCAACAGCCCGAGTCAGCATGATGCTGTGAATTTCGTCCAGGAGGGCGGGCATCGCAGTGTTGAGCTGGGACAGGGGAATCGCGCGCTGGAAAACCGAGAGAGCACATTAGGCGACAGCCAATGCGCTTGCAAGAGCGGCATGTACGTGTCTTTTTGGGGTCTGAGAAAACGCTTGCTTAAGTCAGAACAGACAAGAGCGTAGGTAGGCGACCTCCACTGCCAGGGAATCGTGTTGTCGAAGTGGTCGTCATGGCAATTGACTCACCTTTTCACCGGTGCATCGAATTACCGCAGTGACCTGGCGCGCGGCGAGGTCCTTAAAGCCAATCTCCACACGCACGGGCACACCCTTCAGCTCCCAGTGGTTGAATTTCCACCCTGGCGAGACGTGGTCACGGTCGTCGAGGTGCACCCGAAGACCGCTCACATTGCGCAGCTCATTGGCTATTTCGGTGGCCTTTTCCGCCAGTTGGGCACGCTCGGCGTCAGTGGTCTTGGCGGTTACGCCGCACGGCACCACCACAACCTAGGCACGCAAAGAAGTAGAAGACAAAAGTAATCGTTTGTGAAGTGGTAGTTGACGTCTTACGATGCTGCCAAGGAATTCTTGAATGGATGTGCCTATTCAATGAAAGTCATGTGTGCGTGTGATTTAAATCGCGTTGAGCTAGCCTTAAGCACGGCTCACAAAATCGTCACCGATAAGATTACAAGTTTACGCGCATTTACCTGGTACTTGGCCACACGGGGCGGCAGAACGAGGCCCTGGTTGTCGGAGTGAACCATCACCATCACCCCGATGGTGCGCGTCGTGATGCCCCAGGAGTTCTGGTACACGTGACGCGCCACTTTGGTCTCGGGGTCCTCGAACACCACGTTGAACATTCGGCTGAAGTTCTGACCCAGGTGGTGCGAGGTGGCGCCCTGAATGCACCGGCCCGAGGCTCCAATGTAGACTTCGACTGTGGTTGTGTAGTCGCCACCGGGAAACTTCTCGCGCTCTGTCTTGCGACCTAGACGGTTGACGTGGTTGGAACCAAGTGAAAGCGTAGTTTAGTGCAAAACAACAACAACGATAGGGTGGCCTAGTCGGACGTACCCCTGATGGCGGGGATGGCGAGGAGATCACGATAAACGTCGCGGTACAGATCGAGGATCGTGAGGACTTCGGCGGCGGCTTCGTCCTTTGTCGCGAAAGCCGTGTGACCCTCCTGCCACAGAAACTCCCGGGTCCTGTTTAAATTGAATGCAAGAGACATGTCAGCCGTTTCACAGCCACAAGTTGTCGCTGTTGTTTTGAATTACGCGACGAATAGGCTGTTGTGGACCCCAGCAAGTGGTCTTGAACCAAGCCGGGGCCACAGAATTAACCCTGGCCCGACTACGTTTCCCTGATACCCACGATGAAGAAAAAGATCGGCGAGGACGTGGACACAACCGTTTACTCCCGAGCTCAACCACGTTGGTGTCGTGACCTCAGACGTGTGAGTCATACACGCGCTAGCGTCGAGACCTAGGTGTGAGGATAATCCAACATAAATATTCGTGCGAATGAGGGGGGAGTTGAGGATCCGCGCGGCTGGCGACATGCTGCGAAAAAGGGGAACCCTGCGTCGGAGGCTGGAGCGACCGGGTTAGGGGGTGTGAATAAACACGATTCACAACAAGGCGTACCTCAAGAAGGGCGTCGGGTGCTTGAACTCCCAACGAACGATGTTGCTCCATTGATTGACCTTCAGTGGGAGATCTCGATGTGACTTGATCCACTTCGCAAACGCGGGATACATGACAGTCTCGCTGGTCGGACGGATGGCGACCGGTTCAGCGAAGTCGGAGGAACCAGATCTGGTTACCCACGCAACCTGAACCACAGCAAGTGCAATCCGTGTGAAAATAAGGTTCAGGCAATCGAACTTAAAAAAGCACGTCTAGCGGAACATTCCAAAGCGAAATTGCCTCCCAACTTGCCTCAGGGGCGAAATCCGCGATGTGCTCCTTCTCCAACTCGAGCGCGGCCTTAGAGACGAAGATGGGGAAGTAGGCGTTGTCGACTCCCAGGGCGGCAATGGCCTTGTCAAAGAAGGCCTGAATTTGACTCCAAATGAAGTAACTCCAGGGCCGGAGGATGTAGCACCCCGACACGTCGTAGTACTCCAGCATTTCGGCCTTCGTGATCACCTGGGTGTACCATTCTGCTGTGTCCTCCTCCTTCTTCGCCTCTAGTCCAAGTCTACACAGTTACCAAATACATCCGACTAAATTTAGGATAATCGTACGAGCAATGGCGCGCTACCAAAGGGTACCTTGGACACCAAAAAACAACCTACCGCGTCTGCTTCTTCACAGACGACTCCTCCGATTTCTTCTGGCTCTCGTTTGGAGCGTGTGTTTCCTTTGGCTTCGCGGTCTTTTCCTTCTTGTTTGAGGGTTCCACACCGCCTGTAGGCTTCTTCGCGGACGCAGCCGAAGCGGCGGGAGTAGTGGACGCAGCGGGAGGAGACGTGGAGTGCTGAGAGGTGGCCTTCAGCTTCGCCTGCTCACGTCCCGCCTTCCTTGCGGCTTTTTTCTCCTCCTTCTGGCGCTCCTTTTCTGCTCGCTTGGCTGCCTCCTCTGGGCTCAAGTTGGCAGCGGGTTTGCCCTTGGCGGACCCCTACAATCGACATCATCGATACCAAATCAGAACTCACCAAGACGACAATGCGTGGGTTGAAGTCCCAAGAAAATCCACAAATAGGAGCTCACAGAATCAACCTTACTGACGTGATTTTACCATCCATCAACCACAAATTATGTAAGTAATTAAAACGACACCGTAGCGGTCAATTGCTATAACTATCTAGCCAGGTCTTTTATCAAAAAATAGGCTAACCTTGGGCTCGGAAGATTCAGAAGCCTTGTCACCTGACTTCTCAACTGTGTACTTGGATCCGGTCGTTGGGCGAGCCTTCGTCGCTCCGTCGGGAATGAAGATGAGAACGCACGGCGACTCCTTCCCAGTGGCTTCACTAAACAGAAAAAAAGAGTATTAATTCCCACAGGGAGACTCCACATTCAACGAAGGCGAACACATTAACCTCCGGTCGGTTACACTGAAGGATCCACGCTAACACAGCCACCCAGACTTAACAGTTCACATCGAGAGATGATCGAAAAGGCAACGGGTGGGCATTGGCTAATCAATGTTCACTCGACTTACTGACAGGCCATGTAGGGTCGATCGCAGATGAAGAAGCCTTTGCGCTGAATCTGGATAATGTCGCCGCTCCTTAGATGCCTCAATTGTGGATCGCCGAAGTAGCTTTCTTCGGTCTAAAACACGCCAGGTAAACACTGTGGACGTTCGAGGTACCAAAGTACAACTGTGAACTATGAACGGATTACACAAAATTGCCTGGATGACATATTCGACAACGCAGTGCTTCATGTAGGTGATATGACGGGAAAAAATAACCAATCGCCGACCGGCCCAAAATTACTTTCTACAACAAAGCATGGCTCTAGTCCTCAGACAGGTTCACCTGTTATCCAATCAAATTTTGCACCGTGAATAGAGCTCAGTCCACACCTCGACTACAACGCAACACAATTGGTCCTGACATAGCATCAGTGTTATCCACAAGTCCACAAATACTGTCTGACCGCAAAAATTAATTATAAAAAGGCACCTAGTTCTGAGACGGGTTCAAAAAACCTAGACGAGGACGTTTTTTATGCAATGAAACGTCGAATCTACATCGGCAGTCACAAACACAGTAGAGCAACCAAGGTCTAGGAATTCAACAGCATGGATTGTGAAAACAATTGTCTGGATGACCAGAATTACCTCAGACACAAGAAGCACAAGGTGGGTGTTTAGATTAATTTCGCATAGCATCGAAAAGGGCTCTGAGTGCCAGCATATTTAAACATCTGCAACCGTGCGCGTGTGTGTGTGCATCACACAAAGAGAATCCCACCCAGAACTCACCACGGCGTCACGATTAACGAAATCGACGAAATTCTCGTCCTTCGAGATGAGCGGCTTTGAGATGAGGGGCCCGTAGGTCAGACAGGACAGAGGTGTCAGCTGAGTGAGTTCCTGAGGCAGGTTTTTCGCGTGATTTGGATCTGCCAACCAAGTGACTTTTTGCGTTTTCTTGTAGTCCTGTTAGAGGGAAAACGGGGGCGCTTTAAGCTAGTGGTTAGGCGACCTGTGGATTGAATTTCATTGAATGGTAGGTAGGTAGGTACAAATCAACCCAGATGCTTCGAAAAACATGGAAACTTAAGGTTCACGCTCACCGTATCCTCCAGGTTAAGTTCCGCATCCACCGACACAACCACGCCATCTTTTTTGTGGATCTTGGTGATGCGCAAATTGCCCCAGTTGACAAATGTCACATTCTGCCCCTCCGTGAAGCACTCGGCGTCAGCATGTTCGACGAAGACAACAGGAGCTAAGACAATCGTCTTCTCACCGACAGTCGGGTCCTTAGGATGCAGCGCAGTCTAAAAGTGGTTCACAGGGAATCAAGAATTAGCCATCCAATCCACCCGACATTCCCGTCACCCACACCAGTCCAACCTGTTTGGTGGCAGCCGTCTTCTGGCCGTCGACATTAACGGGCACTAGTCCACCGTGGGTTATCAGGAGGCCCGTGTAGCGCGGTGCGACGGGATCGATCACCTTCTTGTTGAAGGCCCAAATCTTGTCCCACTCCATGGTACCCGTGGCTTTGCTGGAACCTTGCGCCAGGATGAACTGGCGGAGACCTTCGGGTGTGAGACCGTGACGGAGAATTCCGCGCACCGTCGGCATCCGTGGATCGTCCCAACCCGTCACAATGCCCTGGTCAACAAACCAGGTAAGCTTGCGCTTCGACAGCAGCGTCGATTGAAGAGCCAGACGAGAGAAGTCGATCACCAGGGGTTTACGGATCTCTGCAACATTCATTTGTGTTTTGAGGTTGAATCAAGGCAATTGCTTCCACGGGCGCCAATAAGCTTCCTAGATGACGTCAATTTTTACACTAGCCTAAATCCTCCTGCTCGTGGATACTTCTCCGTTTCCTTAAATTAAGGAGCACTTTTACAAACTACACACAACAAGACCACTGTTGCTGTAGATTGGTCAGCTAAACTAACAGGCACATACGAATAAAAAAATGACCACCTACAAAACCTGATCTCTATCAAACGGTATCGGAGAAAGAACCTGTTACCACCAATCAATGTACAGATGTTCCCACCTTAAGGATGTGCTTTAAACAATGCCGCTATTCATTAGAACTAAATAAAACGTGAAAGGGGAAACCAAGCTAAATGACTTAGCCAAGATTCTCGAAGTACAGAAGAGACACAAATTCAATCAAATCCAAATAAACGACATACTGAGGGCGTCGCACATCCAGTAGTATTGTTCGTTTCTGTCGTTGTACTCAGAAGTCCGAAGAGCATGGGTCACGCCTTCCAAACTATCGACAATGGGACAGGCGAAGTCGTAGATAGGAAAGACCCTGGAAAGGAGTTGGTAAAACGATATTTGAAATCCGATTGTCCAACAATGACTTGGAGCAAACTAAAAAGTACTTTTATTTCGAAATGGCGTGATAGGTTTGTCTGAGATAAAAAAGCCAAGGCCACAACTAATTCCTAGGAAATGATCACCATTACCTTATCATTGAAGAATCAGTGGTTATAATAGGGGGAAAACCTACTTGTATTTGGTGCCTGTGCGGATGTGTGGCTCCAACTTGCACCTGAAGATCGTTGGATCACGCATGGCGCCGTTATCAGACGACATGTCGATTTTGGCACGGATACAAGTTTTTAAACCATGTTCGGTAGCTTCCTGCATCTCCTTCCACATGGCCAAATTCTTTTCCACGGCTAGATGGGGAAAGAAAGCATTTCAGGGAAATTGAGTTAAACACACATTCGTGGCATTGAGTCAATTAAACGAAAATTAAATTTGAGACGCGATCATAACACCCATTCAAGTTAGGAATCTACACAACAAACTGAAGAGTCAGACTAAGGCCAACAGCCAATCAAAAATCATTGTAACCGATACCCATTTCGCACAGTGGAGCCTGTTACACATTGTACAACTGGAGCGTTTTTCAATCCTGAAGCCAGAGAGAAACGAGCTTTAAATCGGGGTTGATTGAGTTACTAAGATGACGAAATCAAGAGTGAAGGAACGATTTATAGCCAGACACCAAAAACCCCACAGAAACCTACAATTATGGCGACATGCTGACTCTTGCCGTGCTTCCCGTTGATTTCGCATAGTTTCTGCGTCGGTGTCATCGGCATAGGCTTTACCATCCTTGATTAACTGTGTGCAGAAATCAATCATGCGATCAAAGTAGTCAGAAGTGTAGGTGAGCGAATCCCAATGCACACCCAGACGCGGCAAATCAGCCAATATTGCCTCCTCAAAATCGGCATTCTCCTTGGCCGGATTCGTGTCGTCAAAACGTAAGAGCAACTTCCCTTTAAATATTTGCTGCAAAGAAAAAACAAATACTTGATTGAATTTCTACGAAATCAGCTAAGAGAATTTGATCATAACCCGTTTTGAAACATTAAACAACACCCATCCTGCACACACGAACTAACCTTATAGTGGTAATTGAGCAGAGCAGCTTTCGCATGGCCAATATGCATGAAACCGCTAGCCTCGGGAGGAAATCGCACGACCACCTCTCCAATCTTCGCACCAGGAAGGTCTTCGAACTTTCCACCCTCTTCAAACTTCATTTCCATTGCCGCACCTTCCTTTGACTTGGCAGGTGTTGTAGTTGATGAAGTCGCCGGTTTGTGATGACATAGGGTACCGAGGGGAACATGAGTGCTTCTGAGAGCGGCAGAGAGATTACTAAGGCCAGCATGAGAACTCAAGAATGTGCACAGCCTCTTCAGGTTTACATGGCCTTTGGAGACCGATGGAGCTTCGGCAACATCAAGACCACATCGTTGGTGCCATTCTTCCGTGCCTACAGAAGTGTAGACCTTGTCAATAAAAGGAATACGTTTCGGAGTCATAAAACTGAATCCACTTACACTGCAACCGGGCCCATACCGCAATATCAGCACAGGACAAGCTATCAGAAACCAGAAATGATCGATGAGCCAAAACTCTCTCAAGCTCGTCTAGAGCAACATCGAAAGTCTCAGAATGAGACAGATACACCCTGGCAAAGCGTATCCAATTCCAGACATCAACCTTTGGACAATGTTAAATAAATAACTGAGAATACCAATAGTTTAGAGTCGCAAACAGGTTCCACCCCAACTGCCCTATTCCAATAAAACTAACACAAAAAACGTTAATGCCTACTTGAAATCGATGTCACATGAACACCTACAAGTTTCTTTAAGTAGCCTTTGCAAATCACATTCCACTAAAACTGCAATTAGTTGAACTAGGCGTCATACGCATCCCCATCATGCGAAGCCACGTTGTAAACTAATCAAGCCGACAATACCGCTGACGAATAGTGCGCAGGATTTTGATTAGTTTATTCGAATAATCTGGCCAAATCATTCGACACGACATTGGTTCATTGAGTGAGGCCACTCAAATTCAATCCTGATATTGAATGAAACGTGGCTTTTACAATTAATTTCGAAACAATAAAAGAAATTTTTCATAACATCTTGACGAATGAATTTCAATTCCATACACCCAAATAGGGATGTGTAAACTTAATAACTGCTTCTTCAGTCAAATGCCAGATTCTAGTCCGACTGTTTTCAGTAGCGACGCAAACATTTCGGCTTTAAGTGGAAGTGATATGAATACTTAAGTCATTTGACTTTGTATTTGGAGTCTAATACTTAGCATGCTTAAGGTGACGGTTCGATTTGAAATATTTTTCGTGCCCACATAAACTTCATTTAATTTCAATTTTAACCTAATTATAATTAGTACCTGTATTTTTGCCAACGTGGTGATGCTTAGTACAAGTGTAAGCGCCACTATTCTGGTCCATGGTCCTTAAGCTGAAGGTAATGACCCAAACGAGGACAATTATTTTAACCTAACTCTCTAATGCTAGGAATTTCGTCTCAAATGAATGTTTATTTGAATTTTCATTGTTGTTGCTTAAAGCAAATAATTTGTGTATTCAGTAATGTAATACTTTGACCACTCAAACATGTCTAGGATAACAGCCTAGATCAGATCTTCAAATGAACGATGTAGCAATTGGTATTAATTCCATTATCATTCACTGACCATCTTCGGAGCGTTCCTGTTAACACCTGCCTATCTTACTTGAAAGTAGACATATTCTCTATGGTCTATAAAACTGCGTTTAAAAATTTTTTATTCTGAGGAATATTTTACTAATTGGCAGACAGTTTGAAGCTAACCTAGTTATTCCACAAGTGAGCATCACTTAACGACGCATAGAATGCGTCGCATGAAAGTTGTTAATAATCGATCCTTTGTACCTCTTAAGCATACAAGTTTTTGACGAAATTCATTGTTTTTGTGGACTATTGTATTTGGTTAGTATTAATTCAGAGTAAATTAAGAGATATCATTCAAATAATAGCCAAATCTGGCATGTTAAAATACCATTTGTTGAAAATTGTCGACAGTTTAGCTTTATGCAAAGCTATTACGCTATTTACAAATTAGTTAGTTATACACCTATCATTAACCCAAAACAGTTGCTTACCTCTATTGGAAAATCATCAATTTGCGCCATCTCCACTGTTAACTCAAGTCTTAACACCTTGACCCTTCGCATTGTCACCCGTCCTAGTTTTCATCAGCAACATGGATAAGTCTGATCCTGCGCTTTTGTGTTCACACTTTGTATATCCTCTTAAACTAGCATTCAATGTAAAAAAATGACACCTCTCAAGTCTCTCCTGGGCACATCTGAGGCGTATGTAGATATATTACATCGTGCCCACAGAAAGTCAGCAGAGTTCAGCGATTAAATAAACGGTTAACGCTTTTACTATTCTAATCTTCCTACTTGCCTGAGAGAGCCCCAGAAATAGCGTCCCACACTGGTTACTCTACGGTATCAGATGCCACTGTTCCCGACATGAGTCAGTGTGGCGACGTCTGAGGTTGCCGACATATTGGACTACGCTGCTCTCAGCCAATTCTGTATCCCTCTGCGTTCCAATGGCATGAGAGGAAGATAAGCAGCCAAACAGTGAAAGAAACGAATGAGGTGCGGTATATAACGGGCGGTGTGGGTAGCGTGGCAGACCCGGATGGACGGCGCCTGACTTGTGGCACTGGCTTGTGATTGTTCAATAAAGCCTGTTCTGTTGTACCAGTATTATTTATACTTGGGCTCGGGTATTCTGCACTACAATATTGAAGTACCAATTCGTAGACATATTGGACCAGGATAAGCTCTGCCAACCCTCTATTATTTTGCGGTTAAATAGCCTACGAGGAATGTCTACATTCAGAGACAAGGACCAATGGAAAACAGTATACACTGAACGACGCAGCCAGCACAGCGGACTCGAATCAGCAACACCCGATACACAGTTCCGGCACGTGATTGGTTAGCAAAACTCGTCATGTTTTGCCCACAATCTTTATATTAGGGTTCGGTGATAAACCACAACTTGTGGCGTCAGACCTACAGTGCCATCCAAGAGCACAGACATATTTGGTCACACAAAACTAC